AAGGGGAGAGAACATCAAGGCAGTGGTGCAGAGCTGCACAGGAGCACCAGAAGGATTGGATTGGAGATGCTTGCGTGGCCGAAGGGTTGCTGAGTGCTTGTACCAGAGGGAGTAAACTACAGAGCCAGGGTAGTGCCCGAGTGGACAGTGCATGGGATTGGCGTGAAGAGGCTTATAAGGGTGACAGGGTCTAGAATGTGACCACAGGGGTAAATGTCTAAGGGGGAGTGGACACAGTGAGATTTGAGTCACTCACTCCTGGGTATCTCCAAAACTCTGTTGGTGGCTCTATTGTAGCACTTTTTATTTTATATTGTGATTTTTGGTTTATATGCCACCTCCCTCTTCTAGAGCCCTGAGGGTAAAATCTGTTGTGTGTAATCTGATGTCCTTAGTGCCTAGCACAGTATGTGATACACAGTAGGTAATACGTTTGTTAGCCAACTGTTAAGAGAAACTTGGGATAACTAGGAAGGTTTAAACTTTGACTGGATATAATAATACTCAGCAACTATCAGGTATTTCTTAGGTGTGATAATGGTATTGTGCTCATATATATATAAAGAGTCCTTATGATTCAGAGAGACATGCCAAGATATCTAGAGATGAAAAGATACCTGGGATTTGCTTCCAAATAATCTACTGGGTATGTATGTGGGCAAGTGGTGGGGATATAGATGGAAAAGGTTGACCATGGGTTGAAAAATGTTGGAATTGGGTTATGGGTACATTGGGCTTATCATGCTGTTCTCTATATTTACCTAGGTTCAGAATTTTCCAACATGAAGAGTCTTTTAAAAGTTCCTGGAAAAAATATATAGTATTTGTTAAATTATTAAATAAATGAGTGGAAGGATAAAATTTGATCTCATTGACATTGTACGCTTTCCACATACATATCTTCTAAAAGAAGCTCTCATAACCTACTTTTTAAAGCCTCTTTTATTAAGGAATTTGTGTTTGCTGGCAATTCATACCAGGCATGGTGGCTCGTGCCTGTAATCCCAGCACTTTGGGAGGCCGAAGAAGGAGGATTGCTTGAGTTCTAGACCAGCCCAGGCAACATGGTGAAACCCTGTCTCTACAAAAAATTAAAATTAGCTGGGCGTGGTGGTACATGCCTGTAGTCCCAGCTACTTGGGACACTGAGGTTAGAGGATCGCTTGAGCCCAGGTGGTTGAGGCCGCAGTAAGCCATGATTACATCACTGCACTCCAGCCTGGGTAGCAGAGTAAGACCTAGTCTCAAAAAAAAAATAAATTAATTAATTTTAAAAAATCCATTAAAGGGGATGTAAAATTTAATTGATGTTTACTAGGCATGTTATGAAACAATTGAATTAGAAATTTGTTCCGACCTCCCAGAGGCTTGTAGTAAAACGAGAAAGTTGTTTGAATTTGGCCACGTTTCTTAGAAGGAATATGACGCGAGGCCAGGGGAGAAAGAGAAATAATGGGAATCTTGTCTCAGATGACATCTCCTGGGAACACACTCAAAGGCTTAGCATGTTCTGTCCTGTCTGCCTTTCTCACATCATTTCAGAAGCAAAATATTGTCAGTGATTTGAATGTTTATAGCTCTTTTCTTCAGAATAATTGAAGACATATCTTTAAGCTGTAATAGAGGGGAAGGATGAGACATTCAGAAAGTGTATATTAGTAAAACAGTTGTTTCCATTGGAGAAAATCTGGGAAAGTAATAAGGTGAGAGGAATCATACTCTGGGGTTAGTAAGAATCATTTAGGTCACTACTTGTTATGGAATATTATGTAACCACGACAACCCGTAACCCAATCTGTTGTCCCCAGAACAAGAGGCAGAGGAAGGGGACGAGGCAAGAGGCGATTTGGTCCAGGTCGACGGCCAGGGCGTCCTCCAAAATTTATCCGCCTGGAAATCACCAGCGAAAATGGGGAAAAGAGTGACGACGGGACACAGGTACAGGGGGATGGGAAGGAGCCCTCCTCAGATGCTTGTGTGGAGGACTCGCCAGATCCCTGACAAGATCTAAGTACAAAGACCTTCCCAATGTTTGTAGACCTTTCCTATCAGAGCTTGCTGCCTGTTAATTAAAGCATGATTGGAGAATGCCAGAAAAGAATGTATTTTCAAGTGTTACCTACAACAAAAACCCAACTTTGCCGCTCTATAAAATTGACCAGAGTTAGTAGAGGTGGACTTTGTTTAATTAAACAATTAAAATTATTGATATTCCAGAAAAGTCAGATCACAGTCTTTTCCTTGTTAAGTGGTCTGGAACCTATCCTGCTTTTGCCTTCTGTGCATAGTTACCTAATTAACTTTCCCAGAGGGAGAATATTTTTTCTGAGTATTATGAATCTAGTCATTCCTAAATAAGCAGCAATTCTAAATCTGAGCCGACAGTCCCTCTGGCACTGATCTCTATTCCTGGTTATTTCAAATTTCAGGACTTGCTACATTTTCCCACAAAGGAGCAATTTGATGAGGCTGAACCAGCCACTCTGAATGGGCTGGATCAACCAGAACAGACCACTATCCCAATCCCTCAGCTGCCACAAGAAACCCAGTCTTCCCTGGAACATGAACCAGAAACTCACACCCTGCATTTGCAGCCGCAGCATGAAGAGAGCGTGGTGCCCACCCAGAGCACGCTGACAGCCGACGACATGCGCAGAGCCAAGCGCATCCGAGTAAGTGGGGAAAGCCGGCGGCTCCTTGCACCTGCCGGTGATCTTCCTCCCACTAGCAGCTCTCTGGTGGTTTTCCAACCTATTCACCGTCCACTCTGAAATCTTGCATCTAGCCCGTCACGTGCTCGATCCCATTATTTCAAAAGATCCCATTATTTCTCAATGTCTCAGTGCCCCATGGCAGGCTGGCATGGCTGGTCCTAGATTCAACCAATTTAGTAATGACACAGAGGCCTAGAGGTTGGCAGCTCCTGGACTAGCTCTCTGCATCCCTCAATTCACAGATTGGAAGTGGAGAAATAAGTACATTTAGTTATAATAATCATTTATATTTTAAACCAGGCTAATTTGTGCCTAATCATAGCTCTCAAGTTAATTTTGGGTAACTAAATGTGCTTATCTACATCTTCCCAGGGGAGAATGGCAAATGTCATTACTCATCAATGTAAAGTGACCTGTGTCCAAGTTGATATGGCAGGTACAGTTCACACACCTGGGGATAGCTTGAGCCAAAGCTGTCAGTCGGAGAGTGAGTCAGTGTCTGAGTCATGTGACGTGTCTGAGTCACGTGACTTGCGTCTTGGCCTCAGGCCATGCGGCTGCAGGGCTTTCCTGACTTGCAGTTCAGATGCGTTTTCTCTGATCTCACAAATAGCATTTGAGTCTGAGTTAGGAACTGCAGGGGATTCGTGGAAAACAATATGGCTTTGTGGGATGATAAGTGTCTGTGCTGATAAAAACCAATGACTTAAAACCCATGTTTGTGGCAGCTGAGTGCATAAAGACTTACTGGTACTTTCCAGTAGATGCAAGAGACATTTTGTGTAACTTCCTAGGCTGTACAATTTCTACATGCATGATTGTTTCAGTGTATGTTTCTTTTGGTCTTCTTATTTGCCTATAGGCTAGAAGGGACCTTGAAAAATAGTCTAGTCCGTGCCTTCATGTAAAAACACATTTAAACATTTGTAGTCAATGTAAAAACACATTTAAACATTTGATAGCTTTGAAGGGCTCTAAGAACTCTGAGGCTAAACAGCCTTTATGAGGGCCCTGTAATCAAAACATATAAAACTCTCAGCTCACTGTATATTATTTCACAAGAGTATATCAACATACAGAAATATAGGACAGCAAGGAAAAAAAGCTATGAATTAATGTCATCCCATCCGTCATTCTCCTTTAGTTCCTAATCTGCACTTCTTTCTCTTGCTCAGTTACTATATTTTCTGCTCTGCCATTCTGATTTTTTTTACTAAGTCCAGAGAAATGCTTGCTAGATTTCTTTTTTTTTTTTTTTTGGAAGGAAAAAAACCCGAAGCCCACACATGCAGTGAAGTTGTGGATGCACAAACACAGTCCAGCCGTAGTTGTACTTGCATTTTTGAATGAGCAGGGTTACTGGTTTTGGTACAAGGTTCCTTGTGGCAAAGCAAAAGCCATATGTATTTGGTTTTTGGAGGTCAGTCTTAGTTGAGCTATTTTGTTTTTTTTTTTTCTCTCACACATTCTAAAAAGCAGGGCTATGTATTTTTTCATCTTTTCTATCCAGATTGGTAATGACCAACTGAAGGGAAGTCTTCCAATCCAATTGGTAATGTAACTATTTTTCTCTCCTCTAATGCTGCCTGCTCAGTTGGAGCTGCAGGTAGGTTTGTTTCCTGTGTTTCACATAACAGAATGTTACTTAAGTGTTTGCCTGACCTGCTGTTCTTTGCAACCTGTACTTACTAAATCCTGGTGGAAACCACAATTTGGTTGCTACAGTAAATGCAAATTAATGAAATAATGATAATTTAATTGTAAATAGATCAATGAATAAATTGTGGGCTGCAGGTTCCTCATATACCAAATGAAGGGTAGGACTAAGTGATCTCCAAGGTCCCTTCCAGCGCTAAAACCATTGGAATAACTTCTGCAATGGTGTTGAGTTCTAACTGTCTATTTGGCACTGTGCTGGGTACACAATAGAATTTTCACTTGAGCTTGCAGTCTAAGTAGGAAATCAGTACTAATGTAGGGGAGTTTACGGTTAGGTGTTAAATGTGAAAGTATAACTTGGAAGAGTGAAAAGTCAAAGTAAAATAGAGGAGTCGGGATAATTCCTGGCTGAGGTGAGACTTAGACTAGCCCTTGAAAGAGACAGAGGAGGAAGGTAGACTGTTTCAGAGAATGATAGCGTTAGGATCACAGGCCCAGACACAGGAGGTTCTTGCTGTGGTTCGGACAGTGCAGACATGAGCCTGGCCCTGGCAAGGGTGCACTGGCAGGACAGTGCAGAGTGAGCTGAGTTGGGCAGGGATGGCCAACCAAAGGCTTTGAAAGTGGGCAGACAATTGTCCAAAGGAAAGTTGTTTAAAAGACCCCAAAACTGCCAGGCACGGTGGCTCACGCCTATAATCTCAGCACTTTGGGAAGCTGAGGCAGGTGGATTGCTTGAGCCCAGGAGTTCGAGACCAACCTGGGCAACATGGTGAAACCCTGTCTCTACTAAAAAAAAAAAAATACAAAAAATAGCTGGACACGGTGGCACGCACCTGTAGTCTCAGCTACTCGGGAGGCTGAGATGAGAGAATCCTCTGAGCCTGGGAAGTTGGGGCTGCAGGGAGCTGTGATCGTGCCACTGCAGTCCAGCCTGGGTGATGGAGTGAGACCCTGTCTCAAAAAAAAAAAAGCCCCCCAAACCCCAAATCAACAAATATGATTGTTTGATTTCCTTTTTGTGTCAGGATTAAAATAGTATGAAAATTGATCAATAATTTAGGTTCTTTTAGCTATTAATATCAAACTTTAGAAACATTTTAGTCAGGCATGGTGGCATATACTTATAAGTCTCAGCTACCCTGGAGGCTGAGGTGGGAGGAGTGCTTGAGTCCAGGAGGTCGAGGCTGCGGTTAGCTATGATCATGCCACAGCACTCCAGACTGGGCGATGGAGCAAGACTCCATCTCTAAAAAACAAACCAAAAAACCCCCTAAACTTTAGAAACATTTTATAATCTTTGTCTACAAATAATCCGTTGTCTCAGAATTCACTGCAATGTGAGTTGAATCCCAAATCACAGAGTTTAGCAACAATACGATTTTGGTATCCCTAGAGTAGCTGATATATATTTCTAGTGTGGTGGATTGCCTGATGAACTCAGGAAGCAGAAGAACTAGAGTGGATCTATGTGCTCTTTCCAACATTTTTCATGATTTCTTCTAGAAATGTGTACGGGCTGTGGCTCTGAGCTACAGAAGACGCCTTAGAACAGAAATGGCCTGCAAATGGGTCAAGGGATGGGAACAGTTTCAGCATTTTTACGACCTTGTAACGATCCTATTAGTATCATTAGATCAGAGAAATATAATCTACTTGAGTATAGACAATGTTCAGGGCTCCATGGAAATTGAAAAGATGATAAGGTTTGTCAATAGAGCCAAGAAAGTGGAGCCAGGTGGTGGCTCAGTTTAAATCAAGTGTCTGAAGGTACTCGCGCTAATCAGAAATGACAGAAGACCGATTAGCATAATAGACCAAAACAAAACTCAGTCCTGGATTTGGCACCTGAGGAGAAATGGCATCCTCAGCGGGACCACAATCAATGTGCATTGTGTCTGTCCTTGGACACTTCAGTGAACGTAGATAAAGGAAAAGATTCCTACATGGCAAAAGTGCTCTAAATCTTGTACCTTTGAACCTCAGAATAGTATTGGTTCATCTGCAGTATTTCCGTAAAGTTTTGAAAGTAGACAAAATAGTAAAGCTTTTATGTAAAATTAGGATCCAGATGGAGTAAAAAGATGAGGTGGCTGCTGAACTGTGCACAGATGTGAAAGCAAGCCCTGTGGCTGATTTGAGAACAAAACTATGCTTTTTTTTTTTTGAGACAGAGTCCACTGCAACCTCCACCTCCCAGGTTCAAGTGATTCTCCTGCCTCAGCCTCCCAAGCAGCTGGGTTTACAGCCCTGGGGTTACAGGTGACTGCTAACACGCCTGGCTAATTTTTGAATTTTTGGTACAGACAGGGTTTTACCACGTTGGCCAGGCTGGTCTCAAGCTCCTGACCTCAGGTGATCTGTCCGCCTCGGCCTCCTGAAATGCTGGGATTACAGGCGTGGGCCACCGTGCCCAGCCAAGAAAGACCTATTCTTAAAAATCTCTGCAGATGCTATAGAAAAATCCTTGAAATCATTTTTTTTTTAGTTTCATATGAAATATATTTCACTGATTCTCAAACTACTTTTGAAGACCTCCTATAAGCTAAGCAGCTTATTAAGGAATCTGGATATAAAGGAGAATAAAGTATGACACATCCCCTGAGGCAGCCCCATGAGCTGAAGAAGACAACAGAATTGCTGTTTATCTACTCAACATAAGTGATTAGGTAGCAGCTTAAAAATCTTTCTCCTAGCCCTGTTAGGGAAGCCCTGAGAAGGAAATTTCGTGTTACATAGTAATTATGTCTAGAAATTTCACTGAATCAAAAGTATTTTGTTCTCCTCACATGATGATTTCACATTAAATTTAGTTTAAAAGTTGATGCTTACAAGTAATTTGAAGTTAAGAGTGTAAGCATTGTTCACTGCACTTTCTTCATTACACAAACCGCACTAAGATCTCCACTAATCCTTCAATTACTGTTCGTTTATAGCTACATAGGCTCAGCCATTCACAGACATACTTGAAAGATTCCCCCACCCCCTACCCCCGCCTTGTAGCAATCTAGAGCGTTCCCTCAGTGTTTTGAGGAACTCATGAATGAATCTTCATTATAAGCGTAACTGAAAGATTGATTGATTCTGCATTCTCCGTGTAAGAGATGATTTTGTCGATCTGCTCTCAGCAGAGCATGAGTAGTTTTCCCAGTAGTGGTGATGGGTTTGCACCGAGTACCCATGCTCTCCCACTTGGGTTCCCTATAACAACTGCATGAATTTACAAGATGGCTAATCAGCATTACAAGTGCAATCTGTGCCTGAAAACAAACAGCAGAATTGCCTGGTCTAGGCAGGGAACAGTGTGATGAGCTTAACTTTGTTAGCATGGCATTCTAACCAGTAGAACTAACTAGCTATGCTGGGACCTTATCTTCTGTTTTCTAAGTAGAAAGTGATGAAATGCTTATATTCCATTTATGACGTGTGCTCATGTCTCATTCACATAAATCTGAATCCTTTTCAGTTCTTTTTCTTGAATTGAGATCTATAATTCTCATGGCATAAAATTTACCCTTTGAAGTGGTTTTTAGAATATTCTGAAGTTGTGCAATCTTCACCACTCTCTAATTCCAGAACACTTTCATCACCCCCAAAAGAAACCTGGTCTCCATCACCCCCAAAAGATGCCTGGTATCCATCACCCCCAAAAGATGCCTGGTATCCATTTCCTTCTCCACCCTGCCACTGGCAAGGACTACCCTTCAGTTCTTTTTATTGTCTTTTTTTCCCCCTAAACGTTTTAATCAAGCTTCAAATTCTTTTTCTCATGGATTTCAACAAGTAACATTTGGCTGACTTGCTCCAGCCTGATTCCTGCATGTGTGACTTACCCTAAGTCTTTTCCTCCAAATCTTCCATTTTTATCCTGTTCCAGTGTGGGATTTGTTTTATTATACAAGTCTTCTATTGGGAACACTTTTTTTGTGTTACTTAAACCCTTTCAAAAGAAAACCCACATACATAGATGTAAAACAAAACACAAAAAAGTTTCGTCTTTTCAAGATGAACTTCTTTGAGGATGGCTTCATTTTCAGTGTCTTCACCAGAAAAATCTTTCAACTGTGTGTGTCCTAGAGTTGAACTTCTATGGGAAGTCTGTGATTGCAGAGATCATCCTCTCTTTCTCTGTAAAAGTGTGATCCAGTTGCACTCTTAATTGCATCACTAAATGATCACATTTGTGTATGTCTTTCAGAATGCAGCTCTTCAGCATCTGTTTATTCGGAAGTCCTTCCGGCCTTTTAAATGCTTGCAGTGTGGGAAGGCCTTCCGGGAAAAGGACAAACTGGACCAGCACTTGCGCTTCCATGGGCGGGAGGGGAACTGCCCACTGACCTGTGACCTCTGTAACAAGGGCTTCATCAGCAGCGCATCCTTGGAGAGCCACATGAAGCTCCACTCAGACCAGAAGACTTACTCTTGCATTTTTTGCCCAGAATCCTTTGACCGCCTTGATTTGTTGAAAGATCATGTGGCCATTCATATCAATGATGGCTACTTCACCTGCCCAACTTGTAAGAAACGGTTCCCAGATTTTATCCAGGTGAGTGTCTACTACTGAGATTCCTGTCTGCTTCCTTCTTTTGGTAAAAGAAACTTCGATTTTTGGAAAACCGAGACTGCCTAGCACCTGCATTTTCATCCCTTCTTTGAAACAGCTTTACAATTGAGAACAATATTTCTTCAATCAAACTACTTTTATAAACAAAAGATTATTATGACCCTTAATTGTCCAGATCAGACATTGACATTAAAGTGTTTCAGTTATATTACAAGTAATAAACACCCAGATCTGTTATAATTTTTAAAAAATCTTTCATAATCCATGTCAATATCTATTGCTTATAAAATATACAGAGCCTGTAGAAGACATACTCCCATTTCTGAGGGGCTGAGAACATCCCTACTACTACTGTGGTTTCCTGCTTGCTTTAACCAAGGCCATACGTTTTGGAAGGAAACAAAGAGAAAGTTGGTATATAATATACTTTTGTATCAAGAACCCACCGCCTCCTCCCCTGTAGTGTATTCTTTGTTGGAGCAAAATGGGTGAAGATAAATTTCAGAATACGCATGATTTCATTTGGACTTTACATGATAAGATTTTCCTATGCCTGTCAGTGAATAATGAAACATTTTGTAAAACTACACCTTTTCATTTACCAAAGGAAAAGAAGACGAGGATTTACTTTTAGTTCTGCTAGTGTTGAGAGTCTTGGAGATTTTCTCACTTCACACAAACTGGTAGAAAGGTTGCTTTAAGGCATAATTTAATGGCAAAAGAAACTCCAAAAATAATGAAGCAAACTGTCTTATAGGAATAGTTTGATAGGACTCACTACTTAGCTTCCTTCGTCAGCTCTTCTTCATTGGATATATGTGGCTAGGAGAGTTCAGAAGCCCTATTCCTTTGTTTGTCTAAAAATAAGGGAAGTAAGTCCCAGTTGAGAAATGACGCCAGCGTCATGTTGCTCTCATAAACCGGTAATGTCTTCTGTATCCACTCATTCATGTCTTTAATTCTTCAGAACTTGATTTTATAAGAAGATGTGAAAGCATCAAAAGGGGCTAAATTGCTTTTATGCAGATTAAAGCCGGAGAAAAGTAAGGAAGAACTGGTTTTTGTCTTCCTATAGATCCTTTTTAGCGAGATTCATTTAAACCCAAGGAACTTTTACTTTTTATCTTTAAAAAATGGGCTCCAAGCAAGCACTCTCCCTCCTCTCTCTCTCCCATGTTTCAAGTTGTCGGGGAGGTCAGGATTTCTAAGGCTTTCTGGATACTTGTTTTGTTTCTTTGTGACAGGGACAGTATGTGTTATTGAGGCCAATTATCACATCTGATTGGATTCCTCGGCGGGGTTGATGAAAACCCATTGGTAATGCATTTGGCTCCCTCTAGCGTTGACAAGCTGCCTTTGGTCGTTTCCTTTGGTGCCTGTGTCCCCTGAGTTTTCCCATGGTTTTTACTGCCAGGTGAAAAAACACGTGCGCAGCTTCCACTCAGAAAAGATCTACCAGTGCACAGAGTGTGACAAGGCCTTCTGTCGCCCCGATAAACTGCGACTCCACATGCTCCGGCATTCGGACCGCAAAGACTTCCTGTGTTCCACCTGTGGGAAGCAATTTAAGGTATGACACCAAGACACAGCCCAAGGTGGGTCTCGTGGCCACTGGAATTATAGCAAGCTGAGGGTAAATGCCTGTTCAGTTCATCAGTGTTTCACCCACTTCTGATGAACTGGACCTGAGATGCACTTTGGGCCTTGTGTTTGACTTAGCTATAAAATTAAGGGGGAAAACTTACTGTCTCAAAATAGTTAATTCAAATCCCCAAACAAGTAGAGTGAAAATGCATCTCCTAAAAGAATCCAAATGTATAATGACAAGTATAACTAAATTGCTATTGAGATTTCCTGACAGACCAATACCTTTACTTAACATTCAGGTCAAGAGGTTTTTGTTGAGCTCTGATTAAGTACAAGAGCCAGTAATTGAGCCTCGCAGGCAGCAGGACTCTCATCTAACACAGGTGGGAAATCCGAGGAGTGCTGAGAAGGCTTAGACTGCTTTGGAGAGTGTTAATGACCTCAAAGATTAAAGTAGAACATTATAAGTGTTGGTAACCTACCTGGAACTTAGAAGAAGCCAAGCAAAACCCTGCAGGGGACCCAGAAATAAAAGTTAAATAAATAAATGTAAAAACAATGAAAGATGCTTCATTAGGATATCAGGTGATTCTGCAAAACCATCATCGGAAGATACTCTACTGAATATGATTGTAGGCCACACTCTCATAGAAACTGGAAAAGAATCAGAAATGGATTCAGGAGAGGAAAGCTAAGGGTATATTTGTGACAGATGCAAAGAAATTAAAGAGAAATAGAATTTTCAAAGCTTGTTTTATGGTAGTGTGTTATAAAATATAATCTAATGCCTTTTAATATATAGTAGCACAATTTAGAATTGTGTAGCGAACTCCAATGTGAAAAGTATAAATAGGTCTGGGATTTTTCTGTTTTTATAAAAAAATCATATCTAAAAGGATTCCTGTTTTGTGATACTGTTTGGCCATCCATCCATCCCATCCAGCCAATGTTTTTTGATTTTTCATTTTGTGCCAGATACCATATTTTAACACCTTGGAATATTTCTTCAAAATTTCTTTTCTTGCTTTCATTTTCTCTGTTACTTTGACCCAGCATATTCAACACAGTTCAATCAGGGAAGCAAAGCCACTGTGAGTGTCACAGAAGATTTTCTTATAGGACTGAGAACTGAATTATAGGAGAAGATGGAGAAGTGGGGGTCAAAGGGAGAAGCTGGGAGGTCGGAAGTCAGCAGTATGCCCACAGAAGCACTGGTCTGGGTGGTCCAATGGGAACTTCCCTGGGAATCTAGGAACCAGGCCCTTCCACCTGCAGTGGGGGCCGGGAAGGAGAGCTGGTACGGTCTGTGGAAGACTGTGTCGCTGTATCTGGTGGCGGATATGGAGCTGGCCAGCAGGGCTGGCAGTCAGGAAGACATCTTGTGGCTGGGTGGGAAAGAGAGGATAAGTAGGGACCCACAGATACCTCTGTGTGACACTGTCTAGAGCAGCATGGAGCTGCTTCCTTTCCACCTTCCAGGCTGGTATGAGTTTCTGTTTGGCTAACCCAACTCGGAACCATGCTGGGAAGGAGACTCCCTTCAAATGTAGTTCCCCTTAGCCGAGTTGACCCAGCACAAAACCACTACCACCTACCTTCCTGGCATATTTTCAAACTAGAATCAGAGTAATTTTTCTGGAGAACAGCTCTGATGTCATGTCCTTTCTGAAAAACTCTTTAATAGCTCTTCACGCAGATAAATCCCGAAGTTCTTGTTACTTCTAAGATGCTACAAGATCTGGCTCCTGCCAGCCTCTCTGGTTCCCGCCTCCCTGTGCACTCAGGGTGACCTGAACTCCATAGCTTTACCCAAGTGTGGCGTACTCTCTCTTCTTGGGCCTTTGTTTGCACTTGCTCTCACTCCTCGTCCTGACTTGAAACTCACTTTCAAACTGTCATATTCCTTTACCTGGCTAATGTCACTTCATATGGGGCATTTTCTGATCCCTGGATTAAGTGCTGCTTCTCCCATGAATTCCCACAGGGCCTTTTGCTGGTGACCCTGTCGTAGCATTTGTGTATTGCATTTGCCTGTCCTGCTAAGTGTAAGCTCCATGAGGGCAGCATTGAAGTCAAGGTGGGACCTTCTGACTTTAGGGAGTTCACACTAGAATAGAGAAAAGAATAAAGTGGCCAGGCGCGGTGGCTCACCCCTATAATCCCAGCACTTTGGGAGGCTGAGGCAGGCAGATCACCTGAGGTCAGGAGTTTGAGACCAGCCTGACCAACATGGAGAAACCCCATCTCTACTAAAAATATAAAAGTAGCCGGTCGCGGTGGCACATGACTGTTATCCCAGCTACTCAGGAGGCTGAGGCAGGAGAAAAACTTGAACCTGGGAGGCGGAGGCTGCGGTGAGTTGAGATCGCGCGATTGTACCCCAGCCTGGGCAACAGAGTGAGACTCCATCTCAACAACGCCGTGAGAGGGATTCACTGATTTGGGGTATAGGGGAGACCTCATGGATACGGTGACACTTTTGAATCCACTCATGGGTAGGAAAGAGTTTGCCAGCTAGGGAAAGGGAGAGGTGAGGAGTCAGGGAGGGATATTGGCATCTCAAGCAGAGGGAGCAGCAGGGAGTAGCAATGCCACGTTCAGGAGATGGGGAGAAGGGGAGTGATGGAGGGTGTGGCAAGAGGAAGCCAGGGAAGCAGGTTAAGCTAGCGCGCTGTGCTAAGTCATCAGACTTACCAGGAAGTGAGCCCTAAGTGTTTCAGAGCTGGGCTAATTCAGGTGGAGGCAGTGGGTGTGGAGAAGACGGGCTGTGTTCAAGACAGGTGTCATGGGAAGCTGACAAGACCTTGCACTTGGATGAAAGGGGGAAGGGTAGACAACGAGGAATGCAGATTTGCAGCTCGAGAGGCTAGATGTTTAGGAACACCACTGATACGAAAAAGCACGACTTAGGCAGAAGGAGTGGGGGCAGATAGCGGATTTGGTTTGGGGGATGTTAGGATGGAAAGGCCTCATGGAGATTTGGCATCCAACAAATGTGTGCCTGTCACGATGTGCATAGCATGGTGTGGTATTTGTGTTAGGCTTTGAAATTTACGTGATGATTCGGTTAAGGTAAATTGGTTGTTTAAAGGGAATAGACAGGGGAACTAGTAAACATTGATGCTTAGGAAAAAGTGGGAATGCGAGAGGAGTTGGAGGAAGAGGAAAAGAAAAAATAGCGGCAGTGCAGCAATGCTTTGTCATCGTATTACACTAAAGAAAAATACCGTCATTTAGGGCAGTGTCCTTAATTCAAATCCTACTGCAGCCTACAAAGCTCTGAACATTCCCTCCTGGGCTTTCCAGAAATGAAGGCGGGTGGGATAGGAAGAAAGAGCAGTTGGGTCATATGCATTGTAGCAGAAGAGGCAGGTGGGTGAGGGAGGTCCGGCAGTGGAGCTGGGCCCTTAGCCTGCTCCCCGATACTTGGTAGGCACTCAAGGAATATTTGTTGAGTAAATGTGCTGAAAAATGAAGTCCTTAAAAAAGTCCCTGTACCAAAAGGTGGGAAGAACTGGTTTGTAGAAAGGCTCAGAGTCTCTACAGGACTCATAACAATTCATTCATGTGTCCCAGAGCAGAGAGCCTCACTGGATCAGGGAGCTGGCACTTTGTTTGTATTCAGGATGGGCTCTGCCTAATTCTCTCCATGGACTCACATCAGCATGTGTCACTAAATAGTGAAACCGGGAGCTGAGCCCTGGGCCCCATGCTCCATCATAATGAACAATGGATTTGTTTACTTGAACTTCTAATTCTGTAAGGTGAGAAGTTCTAAATCCATAAGATAGAGATTCTCACTTAAATTCTTTTGGGATTTAGAAAAATATAATGTTTGCTGAAATGTGTGGGAATTGAGTATACATTGGTTTTTTTTTTTTTTT